GTGTGTGTGTGGGGACCCCAAAAAAGGGATGGGGTCCAAAACGTCGCAAACGCAATGAACGACTGAATTCACTCAATTGCAAGAGAGATTCAATACTTGCAGTATAAAATGCTTTGTGCAAAAACTGTAAACACGTGTGGCTTTCAGATGTGTGACGATTGTCGTCGAGCAGAGGCGAAAGATTTCTGGCGAGCTTGCGTCCAGGTCAGGCAAAAAGCCGAATTTAAAAAGACTCTTTTCTACCTCGAGCAGCTTCTCCTCAAGCATAGTGTAAGCATTTCTTCGGTATAGTTCGGAAGTAGCGCTCAGCTTTTCAACTCCGGCCTTTTTTCATTCTATAGTATTATATTTTCGGAATTTAGATGTTTAGGCTCACAGTCAGTGTACAGGGGTAAAGCCTGTTCCAACCGGAATTGACTTCTTCTTCGCCAAACTCCAGGATGCTAGGAAATTCGTTGACTTTCTGATGGCAGTTTTACCTTGCAGATACCACTATGCTCAGGTAGCTATATTGTTCGTTGATAGTTATAATTTGAAACTTTGGTATTTATCAGTCAATAATTTCCAGGAACTGGTGTCACATGACACGAAGAATAACACTTACGATTATAAGCACACTTTCTGCGTGGAAATCGTTCACATATGCAGGTTCGCTCGTTCTTAGCAATGTACCGCGTTCAGACTTCGCGATCCAATCGGCGACCCGATCGTGGAGTCTGAACGCGGTCTTATCTTTCAATTTCTATTGGGTGTTCCAAAAGAAATGTTGTTGCAGGGATAACATAGTGTGTATGCCGAAAAAAGTTGCTCAGCATCTTGGTAATATGAGTCAGATCGCAATCTGTCTCCGTGTATCTAATGTTATTACTCTCATTGATCCAAGTAACCTGCAAATGGCAGATATACAAGCGTGAGTTCATTGATTGGAAGTTTCACGTGAGACTGATGTTAATTTATGTGCAGAACGTCGTTTTGGCGGGATCCGTTCGATTCACTCTGCACCCCTAAACAGTTGTCCGAGTTCTACGTGCTTGGACGTGAGAAGATGGTTGACAAATTTGGACCAGAAAGGTAGGGATTAGGCGGCTTTTTTGTTTGGCCGGTTGTAAAGGTTTTGATCAAACCTTTAAGGTTGGCCATGGTTTGTATCAGCAAGAAGCATGTTCTGGCAGACGTATGGCTTGTGAGGAGCCACCAGGTAATCATGTTTTAGCGCTGGTAACCTTGAGGGTTCATGTGAGGATTCCTTTGCATGCAAAACTGATGGGCTCAGTAATTGAGATAAGGACCCGCTAATGTGTAGCAATGGAGAAGCTCCGGAATCAGCTTGGAGTAAGCTGCAAATAATGGTAATTCCTTGTCGCGATACAGGCGACAATGAGGCTTTATGAACAGCAATGGACACAGGGGCTATTCGGATTCAATTCTACTGCGACCAATTCTCCTTATGTATTCTAGGCACCGGGCTTAATTTTCTTCTTCTTAATTTTTTAGTTTGACACCTACATCTCCACCCTGTTACCCCTGTTGCAATCTGCTCCTTCTTGGTGTTCTCTTTATGGCGCATTCATCTGAGTATATGAAATAAAAAAATAAATAAAATTCATTGTTCCTGCTTTTCCATTATTTCAAGTTCGCTACCTATATTGTTACCTTTTCGCCAAGAAATTCTTTAAAACGACCTCAAAGCTACTCAAAATGCTAGCGTAGTCAATTTCAAAATGTTCCTTGTTGGGGTCAATTCAAAATGTCTCCTTTGTGTTTCGGTTGTCGTGGAACACGTGCCTAAACCTGATTCATATGGTCCACTAGGCGTAGGAGATCAACTGTAGGCTTCGAATTTCAGGTTGGCATGTCCGATGCACAAACCGGTCTAAAGCGTCAACACTAGGACATTTATTGAATCCTGGAGACCTCGTCATGGGTATGTTTAGCCTGTTTAGCGACGCTCTGCACGCTTTTTGAAGAGTCATTGTTTCAGCGTTCGATATTCGCAACTGTAATGTGAATAATAGCGTGTTCGATGAAATGAAGCCGGAAGATATTCCAGACGTCGTCATAGTGAAAAAGGTATTTCTAAAGGAGTTGGCAGTGCCCTCCCTGTTCAGGGCTAATAACTTGCGCTTTAGGTATACGATCGCGCTCGACGAGTTGCGCACCGAAAATGGAAGCTGAAACGATTGGTTGTGGATGGCAATATTGTTGGTAACGAGACTGAAAGTGTTGCGGACGAGTTTCAACGGTAATTTACTTTTTAATGGGAGAAAGGGAACAAATATTTGCAACTTTGTATGTTCAGGTTTATGGAAGATGTGGAAGAAGATCCTTACATACGTGAAAGAATCAACATCTACAAGGTTTGCGCTGTAGTTGAAGTTATTTTATACTTTTCCCATGAAATGCATTATAGGATGAGGAACGGATTAAAACCAAGCACGATTTTGATAGCGACGAATGAGGCTATTCCGATGCACCTCTCTGTGCCGAATGTATGGGATGATCTCAAATATTGAGGACGCACGAAATAGCAAGATGTAAGTGCTGACATCCTTGCGCAGGAAGGCAGCACACATGGATAAAGCATAGGGCTGTAATTATCTCCACAGTTTTCAAATGAGTCATCTACTTTTGACATGTTTCCATGACTGCTGTTTATCGCTGCAGTTTGCGATGCGAAAGTTACCACAAGAATTGCTGATTTGGTGCCCAAATTCGCAGACCGAGCGAGTTACCCTGCGCCAATCGACCTAGTGTATTAAACAATCACAAGAGCGCCGTCGCCTTCTTATACTTCCCCATTAAATGTACTACCTATGCGACAGTATGTTAATTCTAAGTTCGCCTGGTAGAGTACTCTTCAATATTTGCTTAAAAACGGCCTAGGGTTTTGTAATTATTTCGCCAAGATCTCGATTCCTTTCCGCACGAAAAATGCGACAGTCGCCGAAGTACGAAACTAGCCTGCAGTTTTACTTGGCCGCTCGTCGTTTCAGTGAAAGAAAAGCATAGAAGTGTATAAATCTGGCGTTTTGGGAGAGCCAAACATTTTTTGGACGAAGGAGACAGCATAGGTGTCGTTTGACGCAGGTCGCTAGCTTTTCGGGAGAATCACCTTCTTGGACGCCGATCAATAGCTATGCTATCCTTTTCTCCAGAATGCTGATTTTTTTTTCAAGGCGCCGACTCAAAACACCGTTTATCACAGAACGGCGTGGCGCAAAGTGTGAACGCAGCGTAACTGAAGCAGCGCTGTGACTTCTGTGCTCGATTACTTCATAACGTTAGTCCTGTCTCAAAAACAGGAAAGTGTGCGAGAAATCTGAATGTTGATAGTAAATAGAAAGAGACAGTATGTGCAGTGTTGGTGAGTAGCTCCTGGGTATATCTGTTTGGTGTTCATAAAGGAATACTAGATTGTGACTAGCATTCTTATATAAGGCTGGCGCTATAAGTATACAGGCTCGACGAGAGCCTTAAGAAAGTAGATCGCTTCAACACCTCCTCGGATATTCGGAAAACGTCCTGGACGCTCAGAGTGAGTTTGGTAGAATACCACTTGTAAAGAAAATCTGGGAAAGCTCTCAGCCCTTTTCCTTTTCTGTTTGCGAGTTCAAGCTGATATGCTAGAAGTGCGATTTCTCAAGTTTTTCGGTTCTGAGGCGCCCTTGAAAATATCCTATCTCTCTTGAGGGTCTAGTGTTCATGTCATTGTTTCTTTTCTTGTTGATGTTGTTGTTAGTTTTGTACGCTGTTGTCAGATATTCAAAGTTTTATCGTGGCTATTTCATAAGTAAATATTCCCGAGTGTTATATTTCGTGATTTTCTCGTGTTGGAGGATGTGAAACCTCTTCTTCCTTTTTTGAGTGCAGATATACCGAGAAAAAAGTTTCTATCTGTCAGAACTCTCTCGTGTTCAATAGCTAGCTTTGTAGAAACTAACGAAGTGTAGGGATGGGTTTTAGTCGATTTTCGCCATTATGATATGGGTGTCGGATAGTTCGATGGTGGAAAGTTCAATTAGCATCAAAGGCATGCTTTGTGGGGGTCCTGTCCGCAAGCACAGAGGATGCGCGACATTCGCAGCCAGGGTACAGCATCGTTGTGTGAAATAGGGAGGGGTCGTACTTTTTCTCTGGGGAGGGAGGGGGAGGTCGTATTTGGTCGTTGGGAGAGAGGGGGGGGGGAGGGAGTCGTTGCCTCTGAGAGAAAATCGTTGCACTGGTTTTCCGGTTGTTGACTTTTTGAGTGGTTTTTCCACGGGAAAATGAGGCGAAATTTGTAGGTAGGCGTTGGGGAGGGGGGGGTCGCACCTACACCACCACCTCACACATCACGATGCTGTACCCTGTTCGCAGCTCAAGAATATGTGACTAAAGCGCGACCAGCTCGCC